GGGGGGGGGGGAGCTTTAAGCCCTAATGTATACGCCTCTGTCCTCTTCCTAATCCCAAATGCTGCAAATCCAAAACTATTAGGTAAGCTTATTTTGAATGGGGTTAGAATTGAAGTATTTTCTTTATGGACACATCTTTTTCTTTTAAGCACTACCTCACTTTTAAAAATCTATTGTTTGCAGCCTATTTTTGAAAAACAAATACTGAAAGAAATTAAAAGTATGTGTATTGGGTCATAAAAAATGAATGAGTGAATTTTCATTACTATTGCATGCTAACATTTACTATAGCTTTCAAATTCGGTGATGGAGATGGACCTCTGTAGAATAATAAAGTAGATGATAGTTCCACATTTTATTGAAAATATATTTCAGTCTGAGATCATCGTCAGTACTTGAGATAGTTTCTGTCAATGTTATAATGCAAGGAAAGTTAATTGCATGTTGCGTATACTCTGCGTACATATTGAAACCAGTTCTATGTGGGCGGAATTTGTAAACTAGAATAGATGCATCAGTGTTCGTTTAGTATCCGAGGAGGTTAAAAGCATTAAATTTTGATAATTTTGATAATTCACATAATAGTTTCCTATGACCAGAATATTTCTTTGATTTTTTATGTGAAAGATGGATATGCCCATGTCAGGCTTCGACATTCGTCTGGTGTTTACAATATTTCCCAGAGACAGTAAACTGCAGTACAAACGATGCGTACACCTTTAAAATAACTTTCCTTGCATTATAACCTTGGTTAAAAACAAACATTTACTATAGCTTTCAAATTCGGTGATGGAGATGGACCTCTGTAGAATAATAAAGTAGATGATAGTTCCACATTTTATTGAAAATATATTTCAGTCTGAGATCATCGTCAGTACTTGAGATAGTTTCTGTCAATGTTATAATGCAAGGAAAGTTAATTGCATGTTGCGTATACTCTGCGTACATATTGAAACCAGTTCTATGTGGGCGGAATTTGTAAACTAGAATAGATGCATCAGTGTTCGTTTAGTATCCGAGGAGGTAAAAAGCATTACGTTTTGATAAGTTTGAAAATTCACATAATAGTTTCCTATGACCAGAATATTTCTTTGATTTTTTATGTGAAAGATGGATATGCCCATGTCAGGCTTCGACATTCGTCTGGTGTTTACAATATTTCCCAGAGACAGTAAACTGCAGTACAAAAGATGCGTACACCTTTAAAATAACTTTCCTTGCATTATAACCTTGGTTAAAACAAACATTTACTATAGCTTTAGGTTCAGTCATTCTTGTGCTGCTAGGGGACTCCTCAGTACTACACCTGCCTTGGGACTGCAAGTACAATCTTGTAAATATCAGTGATAGTCTTAGAGATAGACAGATAGACAGATAGACAGATAGACAGATAGACAGATAGACAGATAGACAGATAGACAGTTAGACATATAGACTGATATACAGATAGACGGAAAGACATATAGACAGATAAACAGATAGTAGACAGATAGTAGACAGATAGACAGATAGTAGACAGATAGTAGACACATAGTAGACAATTAATAGACAATTAATAGACAAATAGACAGATAACGACTTAAGGTGAACAGTTATTATGTAAAATTAAGTTTCAATTAGTGTGAATGTAAACCTTTTAAAGCGTTTAAAGTGACTGTTATAAGCGTAATTATTAGTGACCCTTTCTGCAAAGGTGGCAATGCCCGATTTACAAGGATACTCTTTAAACCTTTGGCAGACAATCAAGACTCTGTTTTAAAATTAACCAACCAAGCAGCAGGAAAATCTGCGAAAACTTTTCATTGTATGGTGTTTTTTTTTTATTGTGTAGTGTTTTTTATTGTATAGTTATTTATTGCATAGTGATTTTTATTGTAATAGGCTTTTAGGGCACTTCGCCCCCATCTTCTATTTAGATTGTGAACATTTTGCGGATTTAAAAAAAAAATCGCGGATTTTCAAGAATTAAAATTTTTTTACAAAATTAAAAACCTTTAAACACATTATTTTAAATTTTTATCATTTATAAACCTTCCTTGTGGTCACGTGATATCCCACAAAAAATTTGGGCCCGATCGGTTCAGCCGTTTTGACGTTTATTGGATACAAACAAACAGACAAGCAAAATTTATAGATTAAAGATTTGCACACGTAGTGCAAAGTCTGGTTTTTGAAAAAAAATCCAAATTTATAGGTTCAAACTTAAAAACAAAATTTAAATTAACTATTTTATCCTTAAAGAAAGAGGGATAAAGAACTTGAAGTGCTGTTATGAAAGAAAACTCTTAAATAAAAAGGAGCTGTTGGATAGAAATAAAGAGAGAGAGCTGCTGATGGATAGGAATAAAAAGAGAGAGAGCTGCTGATGGGAAGGAATAAAGAAAGAGAGCTCCTGTTGGATAGGAATAAAGAGAGAGAGCTGCTGTTAGATAGGAATAAAGGGAGAGAGCTGCTGATGGATATGAATAAAGAGAGAGAGCTGCTGATGGATATGAATAAAGAGAGAGAGCTGCTGATGGATAGAAATAAAGGGAGATAGCTGCTGATGGGTAGGAATAAGGGAGAATGCTACTGATGGATAGGAATAAAGGGAGATAGCTGCAGATGGATAGGAATAAAGGGAGATAGCTGCTGATGGGTAAGAATAAAGGGAGAGAGCTGCTGATGGAAAGGAATAAAGGGAGAGAGCTGCTGATGGGACTTGTTGCCATAATGAAGTTTTGTCACTAATGATACTCGTTGCAATATTTATATAATGCTGATAGTATAATCTAGATGAATTTATAAACTAATTATGGTGAACAATTCACCATAGAAACCCTCAATCTCCGTAATTTAAAGTTTGTTCAGATATTAATCTAGAATCATACGCTTTTGCTGAAAACTGCTTTGGTATGAACAATTCTAAGATAATTAAAATTTTAATCTGCCTCTCTGGCAATATTTAGTGCCTCTAAATAATTTTTATCCGTCAATTTTTCTTTATTTCTCAATATTTCCTAAATCTATGTATTCATTGTGTGACTGTTTGCTTTAAATGTTATTATTTATGCCTTCAATATTATTGTATGATTTTAATGTTATTGTATGCCTCAAATTTTATTTCATGCCTCCATTGTTACCGTATTCCTAGCCAATGTTAAATGCATGCCTCCAATGTTACTGAACGCCTCCGATATTACTGTATGCCTCCAATATTATTGTATGCCTTCAATATTACTATATACCTTCAATATTACTATATGGCTTCAAAGTTACTGTATGTCTCAACGTTCCACATCTCTACTCCATACTCTATAGTATTTGTCCATCAGTTGTTTTCGGACGGACAGACTTACTCACGTCATGAATAACTTATAATAGGTGTCAGCACCTGTGCACAAAACAACTTTTTAAATGGGATCAATAATTAAATTTTAATAATTAAATTTAATCCAAAAAGTAAAATTCAATCCGACTTTGATAAAGCTCAATGAAAAATTTAATATTTTGTCGTTTTATTTTACAAAAACTAGATAATCCAATGCTTTTCTTGAGAGTTTTTGAAAGTCGCCAATTCTAAGTGTATTTTGAACAGCTTTCTATTTATTTTCGTCTATGGGGTCGCGCCATGTAACAGTTTATTGTCGGTCGCTAAATGTCATAGAAGATCGCATTTAAACAGCACACAGTTCCTCCGTATTTAAGACGTGAATAAGTGAGGACGTCATATGTTTGCAAAAAGTACGGATGGGAAGATTCGGGCTCTGCGTACGTTTATTTAATTTCCTCCCAGAAAACTGCAGTACACGTAATAAATAAACATAGCTTTGGGAGTTCTTCTTATATGCTTGTCTAATCTCTTCAATCTCTCCATTTTTCCATTATTACTCTCTCCCTATTCAATCATAGATAAATACTGTTATTATTCCAATTTAGATTTAGAGCAACTATTTATATACAGATAATTTGATGATGCTTGGTACTACAATTTACAAGTTTCAAGCTGTGGTCATGCATCCTGTTATTTATGGTTTCCTATACCATGGTTTTGTATATTGCAGGTCTACGCCCTCAAATGGTATTTCAAGATCTGTTTACGTTGTTACATGACAATTTATCATTAAGTATTTAATAATATGGTAATTGTGTATTGTTTAGAAACAATATTGCAATATTACACACTGTAGAACATGTTGCAATTACAAGGCCCGTCTTTCTCTCTTCTTATCTCGTAAATCTTAAAAATATTAAAAACTCGCCGATTTTTCATTTTTTTCGGTGGATTTAAATTTTTTACTTGGAACGACTGGTTTAACCGTGTAGATGCATACACATATATATTTATTTTAAAGGGAGTGTTCGTGAAAAATGAAAGGGGGTATAGGCTCAATGCGATAAAAAAGCTCTTTTGATCGCTACTAATCTTACTTCTATCTGTTGCGTCTATAAGGAGAAAATTGTTAAAGACGTCTCATACCGAATAACTATAAGCGGCCATACAAATTGAGAAAATTGCAACATATTACTTAGACCGTAAAAAAATCAATTTAAATTCAAACAAATCATTTAGATATTACAACCTATAGTCATCGATTATCGATTGAGTGGTGTGCGGCATTCTTAGATAGTTGCGCAAGCGACAAGAGAAATAAACAAATTAATTAAAAAAAATATTTTAAAATATAAACTATATACAAATGTGGCGAAAGATAACCGATGACTTTAGGTTGTAATATCTGAATGATTTGTTTCAAATTAAATTGATTTTTTTACGGTCTAAGTTGCAATTTTCTCAATTTGTATGGCCGCTAAGTTATTCGGCATGAGACGTCTTTAACAATTTTGTCCTTATAGACGCAACAGATAGAAGTAAGATTAATAGCGATCAAAAGCGCTTTTTTATCGCACTAAGCCTATACCCCCTTTCATTTTTCGCGAACACTCCCTTTAAAGATTAGAAGACAATTTAATAATAATAAAAAAACATTAATAATAATTTTCAGATTATTTTATCACATGCTCAATAATCCAAACAGCTATTTTTTTCCGGGAAATGTATGAAACATCAGCTTTCTCAATAATCGTCGTGAAAAATCGACTTTCAATTTCAGCTGAACTTTTTATTTTTAATGGTTTAAAGTCAGATTTTATATTTCAGATTAAAAATGTTTTTGCAGGTTTGGAGAATAAGAAAAAGAATATGATTCTATCTGGGCTTATCCATATGACAGGAAAGAAAAATTGAAAAAAAAATTTAATAAATAATTAACTTTACTGAAATGTATGCTAAATTGAATTTGTATCAATTTTTTCTTTAGTTTCATGTATTCTACTCGACATTGGGTTTACGCTCGAAAATGTGAAAAGACAGCATTTTTCTGAAAACAGATTTAAAAATGTTAGCAATAAAAGCATTGTACATGACACCATCAGTACCAGAAAAGTGACTAAATCTGACTCAGAATTCAATGATGTGACGAGAAGAATACAATTAGCTCAAGACGGCCAAAATATCGTTCTGCATGATAAATTAGCTGTTAATTATCCTCAAATTATTCGTGGTGGAATCGTTACTCTCAAAGAAGTAACTGAATCTGTGCTAGATGTCATAGAACTTTCCAAACATGACACTACAACTATGGCATTTAAAAGAGATCCTTTCATTGATGAAACTCCAGCAATGGGGGCTAAAAAATCTTCTACTGCTAAAGATGGCATTACAGTTACCGTGAATGAAAATGAACCCACTATTAAAGAATCTACTCCTAGGGTGGATGAAAATGATCCCACTACAGAAGGATCCAAAGCTATGTTGGCTGCAAATGAATCCACTACAGAAGGATTTGCCACAACATTGGATGAAAATGAACCCACTGCTGAAGGATCTACAGCTACGGTGGATGAGAATGAAACCACTATAAAAGAATCTACCACTACAGTTGATAAAAATGTACCTACTATAGAAGGATCTACAGCTACTGTGGATGAAAATGAACCCCCTATAAAAGGATCCACAAAGTTAGATGCAAATGAATCCACTACAGAAGGATCTATAGCTACATTGAATGAAAATGAACCTACTTTAGAAGGATCTATAGCTGCATTGGATGCAAATGAATCCACAATAGAAGGATCTACCACTACGGTGGATGAAAATGAACCCACTATTGAAGTAACTACCTCTACCATGAATGAAAATGAATCCACAATAGAAGGATTTACAGTTAGGGTGGATAAAAATGATCCCAATACAGAAGGATTTATAGCTACAGCTACGGTGGATAAAAATGATCCCACTACAGAAGGATTTACAGCTACGGTGGATAAAAATGATCCCACTACAGAAGGATTTACAGCTACGGCGGATAAAAATTATCCCACTACAGAAGGATTTACAGCTACAGAGAATAAAAATGATCCCACTACAAAAGAATATACAGCTACAATGGATGAAAATGAACCCACTACAGAAGGATGCAAACCCACTAAAAATGAATCTTCATCTATGAAAGAAAAGAAAGATCCAACTACAGACGCAATCTTAACTGTAATTGATGAAGAAGAAGCCACCAAAGCTGTAATTCATGAAAAAGCTTCCACCAAAGATAAGACCAAACCCGCCAAAGGAAAATTTCACTGTTCGATAAAATTAATAAAATCAATTTTTATAAACCTTAAAATTTTGCAAAATTCTTATCTTTTATACTAAAAACAGCGATAATTTTTTTAAAGAAGTAGTAGAGGAACAGGAAGATAATGACGTGTTACCAGAATTAATCAAAAATAAAATAAATATTACGACTTCAGATCAAGGTGCATTAAATTCTAGGTAAATTATTTTATTTCAAGGGAGCAATTGTGAACATTTGAAAGCGGGTTTGAATTAATCATTATCATATAATTCAAATGTGGCCAGTTTTAAATGCTACCTTTAGTTTTTTCAACATCTGGGCAGCAAATGGCAGAATTTTTTTTAGCCCATTTATCAATGTTGTTTAAATAGGCCATTGAATAAAAATGAAAATTTAACTTTTGTTGAATTCAAACTTCCAAAATTTGTTTTGTACGCTTTACTTTCAACTCGGATCCTAGAATAATCAATTTAATTCCAAACAAATCATTTAAATATTTCAAACAATAGTCATCGGATCATTTTTTGACGCATTCGTAAATAGTTAATATTTCATAATGTTTTTGATTTCGGTCTTTAAAATAATATTTCGCTGGCGCTAGATTTTCGATCATTCCTGGGAAAATGTCGTCTTAATTATCAAAAATCCTCGAAACAGGAATAAATGTTTTCAAAAGTAACTCTCAGATCATGAAAAAAAACCTTTCATTTTTTGGCGAACACTCCTTTTAAGCAGCATGTTTAATTCTAAAAGATAAAATTACTGAGTTTATCTATATAATAAAGCTCTTCGTTGTTAGCTAAAGCTGGCCAAATGGCTGGACCGAATGGACTAAATTTTTTGAGGGAACCCATGAGTGTCCGGGAGAAATTTATTCTTCAAAATCAAATATGTGTTTTTCAAAATTCAATTTTTTTTTTTCAAAATTAAAAAAAGTACTTCCACGGGCAGTGCCGGGCACTTTAGCTAGTTAGTGTATAAAATTCTATAGCTTTAAAGCGGTATTTAGTCAGCAGCATTTTTCTATATTTACAATACCAAGAATTCTTTTATTTACTTTAATAATGTTTCTTTTTTCTATTTTGTTAAATGTGTATGTGACGTTAAAAGGCAATTAATGAAAATTTTTATCCATGATTCTTAGGATTTCAAAATACTTTACTGGGGTAAAATAAAGTACATTTACAAAAAGTTTCTTTGTTATAAATAATGATAAATTATGCATAACAACGAATACATGTAAATTTATTTTCCTTTCTACTGGTTTTATTTATTTATTTCGTATTTCTTTTCATTGCTATTTTTCCTTATTTCTTTGATTGCTGGTAAGTATTAACGGATTATCATCATTTAAAATGAATTGTTTTCACATAATTTAAAAGATTTTTTGACACAGTTTATAGTTTGAAATATTAAAATTCTACAGTAATAGATTGAAATGAGCAAATCTGAGTATTTTCGCGAGTATTATATCCAAATATTTGTCAAATAACAAAACAAGACTTTCTCGTCCCTTTTCTAGAAACAATTTTTGCATTTAAATGTTATTTTCGAGCCGCCATTTTTCTTTTTAATTGAAAAAACTCGGCAGTTTAATGTATTTTCTGTAAACATTAATTTCTAAAGTGTCAAGGTAAAATATTGTACTTTTTACCGTCTATATGCCTTCCTTGCATGAAGCCATGTGAGTGGCGACGCAACAACTTGAGCCCGATTGGTTTAGCAATTTTGAAGTCATTGAATACAAACAAGCAATCAAACAAGCTACATTTTTATGTAGAATAAAGAACTTTTTATCGTAATATTTTTAATCATCTTGTTTTATAGTCCGGCTCCGTCCATGCCTGAATATATTCATACAGACGAGTTGACAACTATTTCTCAAGATAGATCGATAGTTGTCAATCAAAAACCACCAAAGATAAGTATACTGAAGGCAAACTTTTTTCAATCTGAAAAATTTGATTTTTCGAAAAATTCTAAAACATTAATGCCAAAAAGTGTATTTGAAACTATCGATATCCCTGCTGTGATTACACCCTCTTCAACAACTGTTTTACCGTCAACCACAACTGTACCTGAAACCCAACAGCAAAGTTCAAACAAGAAAATTTATAATAAATGTTGCCAGGAGAGACAAGTTGTTCACTTAGGTAAGTTCTATATTTTGTAATGTTGTTTTATTAAAGTGTGCTGTAGAACAAAATTACTCTTTCTTCGATTTTTTAACAATAGATATTCTAGAAATCAAATTATAAAAGTTATTAACAGTTCATATGAAAATGAAAATAAACTGAAACACAGAGAGAAAACTTTTCATTGATTCAAAGCCAAAAGCCTAACCTTTAAATATGAAATAGAAATTGAATCGAAATCAAAACTAGATTTTTTCCCGAGTTAAACTTGACTCAAGAGGTTGGATTTAATGATTGATAAGTAATCAACTATGCATGGATTGTTGAGCTGTTTATAGTGAGGCACAACTAGTCGTAACTAGTTCAAATACTTTAAATTTTAACAAATCTTTAATTAATCATTTGACAGCCATTCCAACTTTTGCTGCCAAATTATCGACTTTGTGTTTTTGTAATTTAGAGCATGTTATAGGTCAAAGTTTTTGGCTTCAAACTCGAATCAAATTTAATAATTAATGTTTTCTAATATTTTAGAACGCGGAGGTGTTCCTTATTGTGAGAGGTTACATGGTGTTGAGCTGCCATTACTTCAACCTCCTTCACATTCAGAGGTGTGAAACACAATTTTTTAAATACCAAGAAGTAGTTCAACAACTTCTTCTAAATTTGAATCGGTGCAAGTTGGTCTATATGGTGGTTCAACTACTTTGCTTTTGTTACACTGAGACAAATGTTAGCTCTACAATTATTCTCCGATAAGCGTGTAACTGTTGTGGCAATGTTTTCATAAAATTGCTCAAATCCACCTTGCACCATTTCTAAAGTGAAATTTAACTAAGATGTTTATCAAATTATCCGCTTGAAACACTGAGTTTAGAAACATCGAATTCTTAAAAATCGCTTAAAAATTACGCAAATTATAAACAAAAAGCTTTTTTGGAAAGTTTTTTGTCAAAGAATCAAACAAAACTATCTTAAATAAACAATTTTTGAACTATCAGTAACGGACAAATGGACTGTATTCAGCGGTTCAAAACTGAACATAACATGTTTTGAAAACTAAAAAATCAACCTTCCCTTGTTATCTTTGTCAAACCGTTAGTTACTGAATGAGTTTTGATTTCATAAATTCTTTTCTTTTGTAGAAATTGCTTCTAATTTGCTACATTATAATAATTGGCTGGTTGCAAGAAGGATTTAACTTTTTCGATGAAATATTTTATTCCTTATGGACAGATACTATGTGGAGGTGTCAGGATGGGGAGCAGGATTAAACATGTATATAATGTGAAGGTATCCGGATGGGGAGCAGGATTAAACATGTATATAATGTGGAGGTGTCAGGATGGGGAGCAGGATTAAACATATATAATGTGAAGGTACCAGAATGGGGAGCAGGATTAAAATATATAATGTGAAGGTATCAGGATGGGGAGCAGGATTAAACATATATATATAATGTGAAGGTATCTGGATGTGGAGCAGGATTAAACATATATATAATGTGAAGGTATTAGGATGGGGAGCAGGATTAAACATACATATAATGTGAAGGTATCAGAATGGGGAGCAGGATTAAACATATATATAATGTGAAGGTATCAGAATGGGGAGCAGGATTAAACATATATATAATGTGAAGGTATCTGGATGGGGAGCAGGATTAAACATGTATATAATGTGAAGGTATCTGGATGGGGAGCAGGATTAAACACATATATATATATATATATATAATGTGAAGGTATCAGGATGGGGAGCAGGATTAAACATATATATATATAATGTGAAGGTATTAGGATGGGGAGCAGGATTAAATATATATAATGTGGAGGTGTCAGGATGGGGAGCAGGATTAAACATATATAATGTGAAGGTATCTGGATGGGGAGCAGGATTAAACATATATATAATGTGAAGGTATCTGGATGGGGAGCAGGATTAAACATATATAATGTGAAGGTATCTGGATGGGGAGCAGGATTGATGAGTATACCAGTCTGTATAAACTCTTCATTAAGTGTTCTTCAGGAAATTATGTCGTTATTGTTAAATTTAATTAAGTACAGGGACTCAGTAAACGTAATTTCAATTGAATCTCTATTATAGAGTGGCATGTCTGGATTCACAACGGTATTCTGATCATGAAGGAGATGTCCATGAATTTAATTGTGACTCCATTTCAAAAGGGATTCAAATATTGCTGGTTCTGAATCCATGAAGAATCTGGCATTATGCCCCTTTATGAAAGGAGAGAGTCACTTCCAATTACAATTACGTTCCATATTAACAATATAATCCACACTTTCGTCTCTTAATTCACTGTCAACTCTGTATTATAAATTTAATGTTTTTAGATAAGATTTTATTACTAAATTTACTATTTTACCGTTTTTTTTGCAATATAGCACGCCATTCTTGTGGCTTTGAAATTATTACGCTTTTTAAGAAGAAAAGGCAATACTGTATTAAATACATATTTGTTAACCTGAACATAACTATTACGTTGTACATTGTCTGTAAATCTAAATGCGCGTATCATTAGCTACGCTAAACTTGTAGTGCAATTAACCTAGCCTAACTACGTCTGTAAACCTGTATTGTGATTTACTTATAACTATGTCATTGGCTGGCTTTACTACGCTTATATTTATCCGTGCTAATCTTGTAAATACGTATGTAAAACTTAATCAGTAACATAGATATCTAAGTACAAATCAGTTGTAAGACACTCTGCTGTGATAACAGTCTTAAGATTAATTTAGTACTAGTTAAAACATCAGAGCTGAGATCGTGCCCATTGGTTTGACATTGATCTATTCAGAGCTTGTGTCTGTTTTCATGTTGATAGCTAAGCTTGTGTCTGTTTTGACGTTGATAGCTGAGCTTGCGTCCGTGTTGACATTGATAGCTGAGATTGTGCCTATTGGGTTGGCATTGATCTACTAAGAGCTTGTGTCCGTTTTGACATTGATAGCTGAGCTTGTGTTCGTGTTGACATTGATAGCTGAGCTTGTGTTCGTGTTGACATTGATAGCTAAGATTGTGTTCGTGTTGACATTGATAGCTGAGCTTGTGTTCGTGTTGACTGTGATAGTTGATAAGATTGTGTCCGTTTTGACATTGATAGCTGAGATTGTGTTCGTGTTGACATTGATAGCTGAGCTTGTGTCCGTTTTGACATTGATGGCTGAGCTTGTGTTCATGTAACTTTTGCATTTCTACTTTGTGAAAACCTGTTCGAATTATTTTTATTGTCATGGCAGGGAGGGTCGTTTGTAATTACGCTTAAAGTCCATTTTAATAATTAAGAATATGGTACAGGGTGTCCCAATAAACATGGGAATTTAATAACGAATTCGATATCGTCTTTATGAATAATTCTTTGATTTAGTATAGTGATACCTACTGAGAAAACTGTAATCTGTAAGAGTTCCGTCTGTTATGTTTACAATTTGTTTGTTTATGTTTTGACTGCATACGGTTGTACTTAGTAAAACAAGAAAATTTCTGTATATACAAACAGAGTTAACCTGTTCGTCTTCACCGTTCATCTTGCGGACACATTATAAACACATCTTTACAGTCTTTTGCCCTTTTCATAAATTAAACTTTAGCAGACATAATAATATTATGGCTTTTGAAATTAGGTATTACAATGCTAATTCAATACAAAGACGATATCCAATTCGTCATTGAATTCCCATGTTTTTTGGGACACCCTGTGTAACAGGGAGAAGGCCAAGCCCCCTGCAATTCTCTAAATACAGGAACAAAACCAATATCGTCTGACCCCACAAATCAGATTAATCAAGCATTAACAAGTGAGAATTTATCAAACCCAATTTAAAGAGGGTAGGCGAAATTTTTCATTGAATGAAATAAGTATGAAAAGCGTTCAAGTCCCTTTAAAACTGATATTCTCTTCCAGATGAAATTTCACGAAATGTTGCAATTTTTTAATATATTAAAAAAAATTTTATTCCAAGATTGATTTTGATTTTAACTAGAATATTGACAATGTATCAATAAAATCTTTAATACAGGGTTGCCCACAAACTATGAGACTTTAAAAACGACAGTCAAGCATTTTTAGCCTTGTTGTATATGACGTATCCAATGACTGTGTTAAAGTAAAACATACTTGCTGAATTTGAACAATTTAAGGTCGTCATTAAAGTCTTATCATTTTTGGGGGGTAGCCCTGTATACTTTTACTCAGGGGATCAGGAGGATTATTGCATCGATTTTGGGATTGAGGACGGATCCTTTATCAAGTAGGTTTTAAAATAATTTGGTTTTATAATATTTAATCTTAAAGATATTCGTCACGAAATGGGATTTGTTTCCTTTAATCAGCTGCAGGGTTTCCACTTGCCACCTGAATTCCAAAACTGTTTCACGGAATTCTGCGAATTCTAGATTTCAAACTTAAATCGAAATTGCGCGGAATATTATTTTTTTAGTTTGAGCTCAATCATGTGCTATATGAGCACAGAAATTCCTGCAATTATGAAATTATGGTTGTGAAATTTACTTGCTGCAAAATAAAGCTAAAATTGTCGTAAAATTGTCGCAAAATCCAGCAGGACAATAATACACAGCCTTGATATACAAATATTTGTAGGAATTCTCCAAAAAATTTGGTAAGAAATTATTTGCAAAATGTGTGTTTAGACCTATAGCACTGGTGTGCACTGACTACAGTACTGTTTGTCAACAAACTAGGTAAATACACGCAAAGCATTATTATTAATTTTACAAATCAAAATTAAATTATAGATAATTCGGTCCTCGAGTGAAAGGACAGAAAATAAATTTATTAATTCTCAGGGGGGGGGAGGGGGGCTGCAAGGCATAATCTTATATTCGTTTAGTTGTGTGAATATGTGCTGTGGAAAGGATGAATACTGTACGACCCCACCAGGTTTTTATTAAACTTTGAAAATAAATGAAAATAACATTGAAGTGCTTAAATTAAATCAAGCTTTAAGGAGCTGTAGAGGTAATTTCAAGTGACCCTTCATTTATGAAGTAATATATATTAAAATCTTTTTTCTTACCAAGAATAAATGAGAGATCATTCATTTCTCTTGGAAACTGATAATTTAATTAATTTTAACTTGGATTTTCGCCACAGAGAAGGGTTCTTGTTTTTCACTCAATAAATGTATGGTCACCTCAAATTACGGCTACACTCCCTTTAAAGGATATTTTGATTATTGATCGTCTACTATTCCTTTAAGGATATTTTGATGATTCGATTACTATTCCTTTTAAGGATATTTTGATGATTCGTCTACTATTCCTTTTAAGGATATTTTGATGATTCGATTACTATTCCTTTAAGGATATTTTTATGATTCGATTACTATTCCTTTTAAGGATATTTTGATGATTCGTCTACTATTCCTTTTAAGGATATTTTACTGATTCGTCTACTATTCCTATTAGGATATTTTGATGATTCGTCTACTATTCCATAAAGGATATTTTAATGATTCGTTTACTATTCCTTTAAAGATATTTATATGATTCGTTTACTATTCCTTTAAAGATATTTATATGATTCGTTTACTATTCCTTTAAAGATATTTATATGATTCGTTTACTATTCCTTTAAGAATACTTTGATTATTCGTCTACTATTCCTTTAAGGATACTTTGATTATTCGTCTACTATTCCTTTAAGAATAATTTGATTATTCGTCTACTATTCCTTTAAGAATATTTTGATTATTCGTCTACTATTCCTTTAAGAATATTTTGATTATTCGTCTACTATTCCTTTAAGGATATTTTGATTATTCGTTTACTATTCCTTTTAAGGATATTTTGATGATTCGTCTACTATTCCTTTTAAGGATATTTTGATGATTCGTCTACTATTCATTTTAGGATATTTTGACGATTCGTCTACTATTCCTTTTAAGGATATTTTGATGATTCGTGTACTATTCATTTTAGGATATTTTGACGATTCGTCTACTATTCCTTTATGGATATTTTGATGATTCGTCTACTATTCCTTTAAGGATATTTTGATGATTCGTCTACTCTTCCTTTAAGTATGTTTTGATGATTCGTCTACTATTCCTTTAAGAATGTTTTGATGATTCGTCTACTATTCCTTTAAGGATATTTTGATGATTTTATACCTCGCCCTTTCCATCTTTCATGCGATACCATGAAGGTCAACATGTCCATCAATTCAGAGGTTAGTAGTTTTTATTTAAACTTATCATGATTTTTTCAAAAGAATGCTGAGGCGCAATTTGGGGCAAGAGGGTGGGGGGTCGTAATATCTAATATTTTGCAATTCTAAATTTTGCGCCAATTTTCGATTTGACTTTTTTAACATAAATCTAGTTGAACTATTAAAAAATTTAAACCTAAAAATTTATTTTATTTGTGCAGGGTATGTTTTACCATGAAGAGTTTTTAACATCATCTGAATACTGCATTTCTCAAACAGGTGACATACATTTTAAATCACCTGTGAAAAGGAATGCCCTTAAAATTCAAAATTTTAAACGATTTTTAAGATCAAATGAAAGGTGTACTTTTTAGGGGTTGATCGCCACCAACAATAATTCTATCTGATGTCACTGTCTCGAGAAATTGATTTAAAACTGTGTCCGATTTATACGAAATGAAATGAAATTTTAACATTTAAATTATAATAAAAGACTATCTAAAATTCTAAGCACCTCTGGGTTATCGTAATTTGCCAATTTGTTCCGTTTTTGCTGAATATATGATCTGTTTAAACTGTGATTCACGTATATTAGAGTTTTCGTATAGGACTCAGTTTTATTGATCGGATTAAGGTGTCAAGGGTACCGTTGTGAATCGGGAATTCTCCTTTTTGAATTGGAATAAACTAGGATAGCCTTTTAAATACGACAGAGGTTGGAGGTCTAGACAGCCTCTTGAATCCTTCAGAGGTAGGAGGTCTAGACAGCCTCTTGAATCTCTCAGAGGTTGGAGGTCTAGAGAGCCCCTTGAATCCTTCAGAGGTTGGAGGTCTAGAGAGCCTCTTAAATCCTATAAAGGTTGGATGTCTAGACAGCCTCTTGAATCCTTTCTAAGGTTGGATGTCTAGACAGCCTGAATCCTACAGAGATTGGAGGTCTAGACAGCCTCTTGAATCCTACAGAGGTTGGTGGTCTAGACAGCCTCTGAAATCCTATAAAAGTTGGAGGTCTAGATAGCCTCTTGAATCCTACAGAGGTTGGAGGTCTAGACAGCCTCTTAAATCCTTCAGAGGTTGGAGGTCTAGACCCTTAACTTTAAAGGTTTGGGTGCAATGCAATGGATGTTTTAAAAAATGGAAATAAGGGTTGGAAAAATGTAAAAATAATTTTTTTTTTGGTTTTGACAAATTATAACACATTTTTTTGTTCCATTTTTCAATATAATTAGAGCTTAAATAACAAGAAATATCAAGGTGACAGTGTTAAAAATGAGAGTGCTAGGACAAAAAAGGCCACTTCCCCTAGCAACTCTTTACCTAAAATAACGTTTACTATCCTGTTATATTTCAGGGTTGATGAATGATGAATATGGAGAGGGGGAGGTGTGTGAGTCTAGAAGAAATGACAATTATTATCTTTATATTACATCACATCTCATTATGGTTCTTCTCCTAATATCTGTTGTTAGTCTTCTAGTAAGTATTTTTTTTGTTTGATAAGTGATTAAAAATGATGGATAATGATACTGATAGTAATGATAATGATAATAATGATGATAATGATGATGGTTAAGGTGAGCTTGATGTTACATGTGCTGGTCCCTGAGCTACGAAACTCAATGTTTAGCTGGATGAAGATGTCTCACTTGTTGGCCATGTTTTGGTCTTATCTCATCCTTTTCATTCTATATATTTGCGGACTTGATCTAGTCACAGACTACCCGTTCTATTGCAAACTGCTTGGTAAGTTTAATTGATATATCACCGTCTTAAAGGGAGTTTTCGCGTCGCATGAACATTTTAAAAAGAACCTTTAAAAGCTTTGAATGATCAAGCATTAATATTCATATTTTCAGTTTCTTTAACAAGGGGGTTACGGAATTTTGTTAAAGAATCATTTGAGAGAATTATCAGAATTGAACACTTCCAGCAAGTAAAAAATAAAGATAAAACTTCTACATTATTGATCATATAACGGTTCAATGTTCACCGCTTTGATTTGAGCGTTTAAAAGAGGCCTTGAAACAGCAACTACAGACCCCTTTAATAACAAGTAAAAATAATTTTTCCATAAATCAAGCCGCTTCTGATTTCCACAGTTCAAATCCGCGAAAAAATTGCCAAGGAAGTTAAAAGTTTTTTTACGCGCATTTTTAAGAAAACTAAAATTGGTCAGAACTTTAAATCAAACTGATGCCGTAAAACTGTGGTTATTTATAGCCATTTTATGGGTGTAAAGAAAAATGAAAATTTAAGACCATTTCTTTAATTTATCGTTTGTTCATAAAACAAATATTCGACCTATGGAATTGGCTATGAAATATAAAAATCTAAATATATGGTTTCAGAAGACATAGAAAAAAACATAATTTGGTTAAGTTTTAAAGAAGATTATTTTTTTGTTGACTTTCTTGAAAAATAATAATCTATTTGTAAGCCCTATAAGTCCTAAACAAAATTTGATTATATTCATATTCTTGTTGAGAGTTGAGACGTGTGGGCGGGAGAGCATTATAAGCCTCAATCTGTAATTAATTCTGGTTTTTTAGGATTTTCTCTTCATTTTTTCTTTCTGGCAAGCTTCTTCTGGGTAAATGTAATGAGTTTTGATATCTGGCGGACATTCAGGCATATGCGGGGATACGGCACTATGGTAATATATCATAGATAAATAAATAAACATAGATAGCTTATGTACACAAAATCACCAAGAATTGTACAGTCAGCGAACTCATACTTCTAGGGGTCAAAGTGTACTTCAATGATAAGCGGGGTGGTTTGGTGTTTTAATGGATTTCATAATAGAGTGTAAAATAACTCCGGGAATGGAACTATTTCAACAACAATATTTCACTGAGCAATATATCATATTGACGAGAATTGAAGAAGGACTATACTAACTTAAATTTCTCTCTACAGAACTCATGTACACCACAAGTACTCAATGGCATAAGAACAGCCAATGTTCACAACCGACCTAGTTAATCTATATAATAGGAATATCTTCAAAACATCTCTGTACATTTATATCTTTCAAGATGAAAAAGGTCGTCTTATGCGCAATCTATCTTTATCTATGGTAATATATTATCACATTTTTAAAAGTTACAAAAGGGACTCTTGACGGAATTTAAATGGACCTTTCTATGTTCGATTCACAGGCTCAGTTACATTTGCCATAATACACTTTCCACAATTACACTTCCCATAAATACTTTTGCCATAAGTAACAGTTGCCATAAGTTGCACTTGACATAATTACTTTTGCCATGATTTTCAAACTTTTACAAAGATATAAGTCTAACTTTTTTTCTATAAATGCTCTAAATTTTCTCATATAAATTCCCAACTAGTTTTCTAACATTGCTTCTGGGAAAGACATGAACACTAATACTAGAAGAAAGAGCTCGGTGAAAAATCAATGACAGTGCAATACTTTTCCAATATTTTATTTCAATTAATTTCAATTTTGGCAATTGTAGCCATTATGTCAAGTGTTACTTATTGCAAACGTATTCTGGCAAGTGTGATTATGGCAAATGTATTTATTGTAAAAGTATTATGGCAAATGTATTTATTGTAAAAGTATTATGGTAAATGTACCTGAGCCAATTCACGATGGTTCGCTTTAAATCTTTGCTTGCTTTGTACGACAGAGGTATTCATGTTTGCATTTTTCATTGTCAATAGCACACTAAAAATCGAGTTTCCCGGCACTTAATTTTCGTCGATGATCAAGACATAGGTTTGAAGGGCACCGCTGTGAATTGAACATGATTTAACGTCTATAACAGTTCTTTCACATTAAATATGTAGCGTAATATGCAGGTTTAGTTAGACTAGATTATGTTGGTTTAGTTAGACCGAAATATGCTGGTTTAGTTACACTGGATTATGTTGGTTTAGTTACACTGGATTATGTTGGTTTAGTTAGACCGGAATATGCTGGTTTAGTTAGACTAGATTATGTTGGTTTTGTTAGACCGGAATATGCTGGTTTAGTTACACTGGATTATGTTAAGATAGACCGGTTTATGTTAAGATGGACAGGATTATGTATGTTTAAGATAGACTGGAATATGTTAAAGTTGAACTGGATTATGTTAAGATAGACCGGTTTATGTTAAGATGGACAGGATTATGTATGTTTAAGATAGACTGGAATATGTTAAAGTTGAACTGGATTATGTTAAAGGTGGAGTGGTCCTGGATAATGTTTAACATAGACCGGATTATGCTTGAGATATACCGGATTACGTTTAAGATGGACCGGATTATATTAAAGATAAACTAGATTATGTTAAGGATGGACCGGACTATGTTTAAGATGAACCAGATTATGTTTAAGATAAAGCAGATTATCTTTAAGATAGACTGGATTATGTAAGATGGACCGGATTATGTTTAAGGTAGAACGGATTATGATTAAGGTAGAACGGATTATGTTTAAGATGAAACAGATTATGTTTAAGATAAACCAGATTATCTTTAAGATAGACTGGATTATGTTAAAGATAAACCAGATTATGTTAAGGATGGACCGGACTATGTTTAAGATGAACCAGATTATGTTTAGAATAAAGCAGATTATCTTTAAGATAGACCGGATTATGTTAAAGATAGACCGGATTATGTTTAAGATGAACTAGATTATGTTTAAGGTAGAACGGATTATGTTAAAGGTAGAACGGATTATGTTAAAGGTAGAACGGATTATGTTAAAGGTAGAACGGATTATGTTTAAGGTAGAACGGATTATGTTTAAGGTGGACCGGATCATGACAAAGAAGAAGAAGTTTATCTACTACTCCGTTTACGCCTGGGGGTTCCCGTTCCTAATCTCCATGATAACCCTGACTATAGAGAGTATTCCAACTTGGCTTACAGAGAACCTCATAACTCCAGGTGATAACAAACAGAAGAAAATAAGTTAGTCTTTTTACTTGAAATACAATCAATTCATATTCTAAAAAATAATAAGAAATATGATTCAAACTTTGAAAAATTAAGGGTGTTTTATAATAGAAAAACGTATAAAGGGACAGTATACAAAATATATCAATTGTGATTCCATTTTAAAGATGGAACTGTCCAAATCACTACAGTACCAATGGAATGGAAGATATTGTTGTTTTTCTATTTTTTACAGTGTTGAGTTTCTGTGATTTTTTTCTGCTGCATAAATCCGCAGGACACTTTTACAGAGAAACCATTATTCAAAATTAACAATGTTGAGAAAGAAAAACAAGGATATCTTCATCATGAAAGACGATGTTTAAATAGTATGAAGCGAGAACGATGCTCAATAATAATGAAGGGTTTTGCTTCTTTGGAAAAAACTATAATTCCCTAATGGATCGTTTTTAATGAATATAGTAATAATTTTTAAACAGAACAAAAACTCATCATTATAATTTTATTAATTAAAAGACCGAATTAAAGTTATATTGCGTTCTAATTTGTAAAAAAAATGAATGCAGGGATCGGAGAGCAGAGTTGTTTCTTCAACACTAACTGGGGAAAGATGTTGTATTTCCACGCGCCTGTCGGAGTTCTCCTTGCCGCGAACATTGTTTTCTTCTTTCTGGCTTCGTGGTCACTCGTCTTCGGTGTTTGGGCCCCAGCAGCCAACGATAGGTAAATATGAAGGAATGATTATAAAATCATAAGAACTTGAGAAAAAAGACCTCGCAAAACGTTAAAAGAAAAAATTGACCGTTGACGTTTATATTTTGGGGGGGTAAAATCGTAATTTATTGTGAACCTACATGGCATACAGGCAAAGTCCGATTCACACCGGTACCCTTAAACCTTCATCTTGTTGTCTTTTTGTAGGTTTAAAATAGGTTTAAAGTGTTGTGGAAAACTATTTTCGGATTTATTTGAGACATATTAAACTTTTTAAAGATATGTAAATCCTGAGTTTGAGGGCATATTCGACGTTCAAAACTCCTACTTTGAGAGTGGAAACGTTTTCAGGATTAGTTTTTTTAATTATTAAATAACGACAACGAAAAATAAAATAAAAATTATACAGTAATCTGATTAGATGGTAAGGAACATATTTCTCAAAAGAAATTTGTCAATAAATCAATGCTAAAATCGAATATTTCGTTTTCATTATTATATTAAATTTCTAATTTTCTTTGAATTTATTCGCAGATTTCTTCAAATTCTGCAAATGTCGTCTTTCAATAATAATTCTAGAAAATGTGGGGAAATCTTTGTATATAATAAGAAACTTAAATAATGAGAAAATAGAAAGTAATAATTGAACAAGATTACTTATTTTCGATGATAAGATTCATTTTTATTTTCTCAACATGTTCCTATACATGACTTCTGTAGTTTATTGTAAAACTTTTTTTTTACATTTTATGTCGTCGTTATTTAATAATTTAAAAAAAAATTCTGAAAACGTATCTACCCCCAAAGTAGGAGTTATAAATATTGAAATTACATTTTTAATTTTATTATTGATATTTTCTGTTTAGAATAAAGCGTAAAACAAAGCAAAGGTTTGCTATTGTGGTAGAACTCTTTTTTGTTATGGGACTTACATGGATTGCAGAGATCGCCAGGTTATAATTTAATAAAAATATACATTTTTTCAAGCAATTTTTTAATTTAATAAAATGTTTTATCTGTGCTCGAAACTTTTTAGTGAATGGAATGCGATCAAATTGTGGTTTAAATAAAGGTTGCAAGCTCACACATAAAATCAATTAGAATTTTGCCAGTTACGTCTGAAAAAATAGATCTAAAAGTAAGTAATTGGATATTCTAAAATGTAAATGCTCAGGGCTACAAGCAAATCTAAGTAAGTTAGAGCGGTAAAATTTAAGCCTAAAGTGTGTTCAGACACTTCAAAGTCGACCCTGTCTTAAAAATGAATGAAACTGTTGATAACAGGGTGAATCTATGTGATCAACTCGCTTTAAAGTCCAATATTTGCTATGTTCCGTTACCGAAAAAATATTTGAGAGGCAAAGAAGGCAAACCGGTCAGATTTTTAGAAAAGAAATTTAAAATTACCATTTTATTAATTTAGGATTAAAAGCTTTATAAACGTTGCTATTTTAAAAACAAACTTCTCTTAAACAGTTTTACCCTAAACAAGAATTTACAAATGTATCCAATGAAATATTTATAAATCTGTTCAGCTTTACATAAAAAGTCTCAGATATTCAGGTTCTTTAACACTTAGCTTAACCTTATCTCGTTTAAAAGCTTTAAGCTCTGATTCGACCATATTTTATTTCAAATATTATAAAAGTTTGTATTTTAAACATTTGTAGAAACTATAAAATATATGCAGAAAACAAACCAAAAACAAACTTAAAAAATAGTCGTTTTTTTATGGGTTTTAATTTCATTTAATTTTAGAATTAAAATATTGCAAGTTTAACCAAATACAGTTTTGAAGTAAGGGTATTTTTATTACAATTAGAAACATAAAACTCTAGAATAGGAAGACGACTTTTAGACTCATGTTCTGACTTTGAATAGTCTGAAAATAAGACACAGCTAATTGGTGCAGATAAACAGGCCCATTTCACTTCAAAAATAAGGTACTACAGGGTGTCCCAATAAACATGGGAATTCAGTGACGAATTCGATATCGTCTTAATGAATAATTCTTTGATTTCGTATAGTGATACCTATCTGAGAAAGCTGTAATCTGTAAGAGTTTCGTTTGCTATGTTCACATTTTGTTTGTTTATGTTTTGACTGCATACGGGTGTACTTAGTAAAACAAGAAAATTGCAGTATACAAACAGAGTTAACTTGTCCGTCTTCACTGTTCATCTTGCGGACACATTATAAACACATCTTTACAGTCTTTACCCTTTTCATAAATTAAACTCTAGCAGACATAATAATATTATGGCTTTTGAAATTAGGTATTACAATGCTAATTCATAACAAAGACGATATCGAATTCCTCACTGAATTCCCATGTTTTTTGGGACATCCTGTAGTATAACCATATGCCTTGTTACTAGGTCAAATACGATTAAGTATTGCTATAATGTCGTCTTCACACTCCACAGTTTTCTTGCTCTAACTGTACAAATGTACGAATGAAGCTTTAACTGTACAATTTTACGAATGAAGCTTTAACTGTACAAATGTACGAATGAAACTTTAACTGTACAAATGTACGAATGAAACTTTAACTGTACAAATGTACGAATGAAACTTTAACTGTGCAAATGTACGAATGAAGCTTTAACTGTACAAATGTACGAATGGTAACGATTAACAATATTATTTTTAGTTGGGCAATTGCCTGGGGTATTGGCACAAAGGTTGTGTGGAAATCTTCAATAGTATTCGATATTGCCAATGCTTCACAGGTATAATTTTTACAATATTTGTTTTTATTTTTTATTACATAAAGATAAAGATAAAGAGTTAAATCTGAAAATCCCCCCAATATGGGAGACCCAGACCGCCCAAGGGGTTAAGTAACTTAAGCCCTGCCCCCCCGGCCTCCAAAACACATAATGGAGAGATACTACCAGGAGGCGTGGCAGGATCAGAGTCCAGAGGTGTATCTTACCACAGCCTACCAGGGAAGTACTAGGTGACCTGACATTACCTTTTAAGTTGGAGCTACCAAACATAGCCAAGCATCAAGTAAGCATTTCAGGTCCTTTGCCCTGCCCATCATTGTAACATTGTCAGCTCCATCACCCCCCAAAAAACCTTTCATAATTTCTCCTGGAGAATAAAGGCCTCGTACATTGCACTCCCCAATGTACTTGTCTATGTCTCTAGTCCATCGTTCAAATCCAATGGAAGGACAGCACAGAATGACATGTAGTTCGTTGAGTACGAACACATTTCCATCCTCTTCACAAAGTGGGCAATTTGTATATTGGTAGCCCCAGGAGTTTGGACGTCTGTTTCCTAGTCCTACATCTGCAGCCCGGAACCTGTTAATGGTTCTGCTCTCCTGGGAGTCGTTCACATGCGGCTGTAGCGTGAACCATCTGACTGGCTCACTCATCCATGTCAGGCTACTAAACCCTGCCTTCAAGGATCGTACTGTGTTGACTTGGTATTGCTTGATGGCCTCCTTGATTTGTCTCTTGTTAGCTGAGAAGTAGTTCCGTAGGGGGAGGTTATTAATTCCTTCCTGTACCTGAGCTGTCCAGGGATCAAGTGTGTCTGCGAGGATTGATTCAACAACCATACGGACTAGCTTGTCTTTCCTAGGCCTACTAACTGCGTGGAGAAACAATAGTTGCCTGGCCTTCAGCCTTAGGTCGAAAGGTTTCATGCCTGCATCCAAATAGGCTGAAACTTTGGAAGCCGAAGATGGGAGCTGCAAGACGAACCATAGGATAGATGGTATGGCGCATGACTCCCATAGAGTACTTGCCGTCAAGGATCTGTCCAGACCAACCCTAGTACACCCCATGATAGTATGAGCGTAAGCTCGAGCCGTTTGTATCATTTTGGCTTCCCGAGCTTTGACCAGATTTCTCCCTTTCACGCCTACCTCCACTCCCAGGTACTTAGCTACAAGAGCTGATTCCAAGACCGGCTCTGAGTCTGAAATCTTCCAGGAAGTATTTCCTGTTCCTGTCGACAGCATGACTGTTTTATCAACAGACAATTTCATATGCATATCTTGACAAAATTTATGTACCGCACGCAAAAGTCTATTCATGCCACGTATCCTTGTTCTAGAAATGAGGACTAAATCATCCGCAAACATAAGGGCGGATATTATTAACCCTTCGAAATTGATTCCCTCCTTCATCGCATGAAGTGCTTTACCTAACCCCGACAGGTACAAAGCAAATAGGAGTGGTGACAATACACAACCCTGTTTGACTCCTCTTGTGAACCATAATGGGGAAGACAACCCACTCCCAATTCGGACTTGTACAGAGTCATTGTAATACATGGCTTGGATGATTGACTTAACTCTACCACCAAAACCTACTGCATCCAATTTTGTGTATAGCAACTCCCTGTTCACCGAGTCATAAGCCTTGGCGATGTCGCAGAATGCTAAAGAAATCACGTGGTTTCGTTTTTTGGCCTTCCTTATGGCTGCAAGAAGTATAAAAACGCAATCAGTGGTTGACCTACCAGATCTAAATCCAAATTGGATAGGTCCATAATACCCTTCTTCTTCGCATACTCTGTTCATTCTTTCATGGATTATCTTAGTGAACACGTTAAGAACAACGCTTGACACTGTTAAAGGACGTTTACCCGTAACTACCTGTGATGGTAATTTCTTATCAATCAAGGTCATACGTCCTATTGACAGCATCTCTGGGACTGTACCTAAACTGAGCATGTTGTTGTACATGCAAGTAAGGAGATCTATGGCTCCCTGACCCGCATACACTAACATTTGACATGAAACTCCATCTATCCCTGGAGCACGCTCTGTCTTCAGCCCATTAATTAGTTTCTTGACCATGTTCGATGTAACTGGAGCGCATACATCTGCTTCATGTTCTGAGGGATCACTCTCTGGAATAATCCATCCCTTCCAGTTACTGGAATCCTTGATTGCCGACTCCTGAATGATTTGGTCACCTCGGTTTTGGAAACATAAAACATGTTAAGGGTGAAATATTCTTTAATTTTGAATCTACATATGAGAACCTCTACCAGCATTCAATTTATTGTATATTGTTGGGTCAGTAGAAAACAGTTTATTTAAAATTATTAAAATTCTAACTAATACAAAACTCGGATACAACAAACCAAATAATTCTATATTCTCTTTCTCTTTCAATAACTCTATGCATTTTATTATTTGTGAGATGCATAAAGAAAGATTAAATTTCTCTAAAAAAGATAATCAAAGTTGTTTGTGATTTCAGGGGTTTATCATATTCTTGATAGTGGTGATGAAATCAAGAATTATTCGGAGTATTAAAAGATTTTATCTTGGTCTGCCAACACAGTCCAGCATTCGCAGCAGGTCCTGGGCTTTCAATAAATTCAGAAAATAACTCCAACTTTCGTTTTCTTTAAAAGGAGTGACCGGCTATGTAAGGTAATTGAACTGAGTATGCAGTGTTGTGGAAAGCCTCTTTCGGCTTCACTTATATTAAACTTTTAAAGATCTGTAAATCCTGAGTTTAAGAGCAAATTCGACGTTCAAAACTCCTGCTTTGGGGGTGGATACGTTTTCAGAATTAGTTTTTTTTTTAATTATTAAATAACGACAACGAAAAATAAAGTAATATGTCTCAAATGAATCCGAAAGAAGTTTTCCACAACACAGCCTACTCAGTTCAATTACCTTACATAGCCGGTCACTCCCTTTAATGTCAAATAAAAAATAGATAATAATTGCAGGAAAAAAGTTATCTACTCTGTTTTAGCAAAGTTTTCATTGATATTTTTTTCAGTATAAAAAAGTTCAGTTCCCGCCGGTTGTCTGTATTCAGGAATCCACAATATAATTAGATTTGACTACAGAAGTCAAATATATAATGTAATAATCTTGAGACTAAGTCCGCTTTGGTAATGATAATACTAACAACAGACCCAAATATATCAAATATAACAATTTGATCCTAAATATGTATAAATTTCGATCGAAACCATGGGTACATAAAGATCAGAAAAAAATTCGCAGGTTTTTCCGTTTAAATCTACGGATTTCTCAAATCTTAAACAAATACTGATTGAAAAACATGATTGGATCTTTAATTCAAATATTTTCAAAATATTTTCAAAATTTGTTCAAAATTGAAAAATATTGTTGTGCAATATAGAAGGAAGTCTAGCGTGGAGGTAGAACTAGATAATATTCCACCAAGTCTACCACAACAAACAACATCATCAGCAACTAGCATCATCACAGCAGCAACATCTAAACCAAATGCAACGAACCAACCTTTTAACGAGAAGAAACGCAGCTGAAACATGATGTAACTTGCATCCTCATTGATTTTTTATTTAAATTTTCACCCGAAATAAACAATATTAATAATTTTCAATTTACATTGGATGGAATCAGATTTAATCTAAACGTAAAAATTCAATAATAATTTTTATTCGATTCAATTTAGAATTGGAGGGGAAATCTATCTGCCCCCCCCCCCCCCTCCGGGGCTAACGTAACATCAACGTGCTATAAGTATTATATGATGTCTAGAATTTTGTGCTTAGGTTGAACAAAATAACCGGAGGCCGAATAGAATTTGAGCTTAAATTTAAACCGCGACTCAAATATGGTTGGTTCCACTTAAAATTGTATCAAGTTTTTCAAGATTGAAACCGGTTTTTGGGTGATTTGAGACGAGGCTTAAATTCATTAAATTCGGACACTGATTCCTCATATTCACAAAATTATTATTATTATTACAAAAAATTTATTTTCTCACACAATTATATGGGTTAATATAATATGGCGTGTATACTGTGATTTTTTTTAATTAGTCAACTCAAAGAATTTTATATATTATTATTCCAACTTCCTAAACATAGATATATCTGTTTGAGAGTAATCTAGTCAAAACACAGAAATTCTTGCAATTAATCTGTAGATTCAGTTGCTATCAAACGTGGCCTGTTTCTTTTGCTTTTAAAATCATAAGAAATTTCGTTCAAATTTAGGCAATTATGGTTTATCGAAAAAATTCAAATGTGAATAAAACTTTTGTTATCTCCGGAAATTATTAAAGCAGATTACATCTTAGAATTGCGAAGCATCATGCCTGAAAAAATAGGTTCCAATAAGAATGCCACAAATGGTTTAAAAGCTCAAAGACGAGAAACAGAAAATTCAGGAGTAGGAAACCGACTTTAAATAGTCCAATGAACAGGAGGTACAGCAATTTTACAGTGTACACAAACCCATTCAACTTATTAAGTGTTTATTTAAGTTACTTGTGAAACTATCGGATTTGTAACAACATTAAGTAAACTTAATAATGTCGTCTTCTTATCTCACAGTATTCTGGTTCACACGTATACTAACTATGTAGGTTTCCCCTGTAAATAAATTCAATAATGTGCAGGAAAAATATTTATTTCAGAATATTTAAAGATATTTTACGATTAAGATTACATATTATAGCAAACAATATAAATACAATTCATCGAATTTAAGTTTCCAAATTTTATGCAGCGTGGTAGAACAAATCGAACATGGATGTATTTCCTAAAAATAAAATAAAAATTATTGATAATCAATACAAAAAAATGTTGAATTATTTGAGGATGATAAATGTTGATCATATTCAAGCGAAGTACCATAATGCGACTAAGACAGGCAATCGTTCCATAAGATATATATAAGAAATATAAAGTTTAACGAACGATAAAAATTGTTAATTTTGAAATCATACGGAAATGAACGAAAACAATCATTCATGAAAGAAATTAACGGTAAAAAGCATGAACAGATGTGCTTAAAAATAACGGTGACTTTCGGTATTTTTCCTGTTTAAAATGTAATGAATTTCATGTTTATTTATAATCATAGATAATGGTGTCTTCTAATTTTTCCCACTATTTTTACATAAAATGATAGTAAACAGCTCGTAAACGGCATCAAAATATACTTTCGGTAACGCCGTTTATAGAATAGATAAGAACGTACTGTGCTGCAATGTACTTAACTGTACTGTAATTATACACAGTGATTTTGCCAGGCTACGCCACATTTGTTGCATAAAACGTGTTGGGTCGACCCTACACCTTCTAGTCCAGACTGGACGGCACGAATGAAATCATATTCGGTACTTTTGTACCGGGTCGAATCATGCAGTGGGGTGTGTACTGTACAAAAGATAGATTAAATTACCTTATCCTGATCTGAAAGGAGGTCTAGTGGTTGTAGCCCTAGAACAATGATTTTATTATTAATCAATGAAATTGTGTGTTTTCGGGTAATGTCGCTATATATAGATTTTACCTTTTCCAGTTATGAATATATTTCTAAAACTTGCCCTGAGAACTTAGTTTACTAGGCTTTTAGGGCGCTTCGCGCTCATCTTCTATTTAAATTTTGAACATGTTCTTTTTGTTTACATTTTAAAACAAAGTAGAAAAAAATTTTGCGGATTTTCAAGAATTTAAATTTTTTTACAAAATTAAAAACCTTTAAAACACATTTTAAAAAAAATTTTATCATTCATAAACCTTCCCTGTGGTCACGTTATGTCCCACAAAAAATTGGGCCCGATCGGTTCAGCCGTTTTGACGTTTATTGGATACAAACACACAGACAGACAAGCCAAATTTATATATAGATTTTCTTGAAATCAAAAAAAATAGTTTAGGTTTAGGATTACTTACTTTGTTGTGCTAGAGGCGATTCTTGTTGATGCTCTGAACCAATTCATTCATAAATTAAGGTTCAATGAATTTTGTCATTTATAAAGGATGTCCCATTAAACTTGACAGTAGAAAGACGGGGTTCAGGTCGTCTTTGATCTTTGAAGTTATTTGCAGCATTCCATGCTCAATCAACTTACTTTTATCTTTATAATTCTTGAAACAATAATCACAAATTCTCCTTTAGATACTAGTAAAGCTATTTCTTTTGTATACAACAACATCAAATACGATGAAGTATTTTAATAAATGTCGTTTTCCTATTCCACGCTTTTCCGGTTTTCGCTGTATTACCAAAGATATTAAGAATTTAGTTCAGATTTCAAGTTATTTAATAAAACCAAATTTTCGAAATCTTAACAAAAAATTCTTCTTTTCTCCGACAATATTGAAAGCAGACAACATTTTAGAAATACCGGAACTAGAATTATTTTACGATTATTAATTCTAATAATATTAGACGATTAAATTAAAGGGACAGTAAAGGAAAAATGAAAGGGGGTATAGGCTGAAAGCTAATCACTTTAGCTCTTGATCGCGACCCATGAAAGTCATATCTGATGTTCATGNTAGAATAGAATAGAATAGAATAGAATAGAATAGAATAGAATAGAATAGAATAGAATAGAATAGAATAGAATAGAATAGAATAGAATAGAATAGAATAGAATAGAATAGAATAGAATAGAATAGAATAGAATAGAATAGAATAGAATAGAATAGAATAGAATAGAATAGAATAGAATAGAATAGAATAGAATAGAATAGAATAGAATAGAATAGAATAGAATAGAATAGAATAGAATAGAATAGAATAGAATAGAATAGAATAGAATAGAATAGAATAGAATAGAATAGAATAGAATAGAATAGAATAGAATAGAATAGAATAGAATAGAATAGAATAGAATAGAATAGAATAGAATAGAATAGAATAGAATAGAATAGAATAGAATAGAATAGAATAGAATAGAATAGAATAGAATAGAATAGAATAGAATAGAATAGAATAGAATAGAATAGAATAGAATAGAATAGAATAGAATAGAATAGAATAGAATAGAATAGAATAGAATAGAATAGAATAGAATAGAATAGAATAGAATAGAATAGAATAGAATAGAATAGAATAGAATAGAATAGAATAGAATAGAATAGAATAGAATAGAATAGAATAGAATAGAATAGAATAGAATAGAAAAGAAAAGAAAAGAAAAGAATAGAATAGAATAGAGCAGAATAGAGCAGAATAGTATAGATTAAAATAGAATAGAATAGAATAGAATAGAACGGAATAGAATAAAATAGAATAGAATAGAATAGAATAGAATAGAATAGAATAGAATAGAATAGAACAGAATGGAATCAAACTGACCTTTGATTGACTGCAGTTTACTCCAGGTACACAGGGCTGACCCTGACTTTCAAGCTTGAATTCTCCGCACTCGTATTTATATTGATCACCGTACGCTCCAACAGTGTTAATGATTATCTAAAAGAAAGGTTGTATAAAATAATGAAAGTATAAATTGTTAAATGTTTATTTAAGTATACATTGTTAAATGTGTATAAAAGTATAAATTGTTAAATGTGTATAAAAGTATAAATTGTTAAATGTAAACAAAAGTATAAACTGTTAAACATGTATAAAAGTATAAATTGTTAAATGTGTATAAAAGTATAAACTGTTAAACATGTATAAAAGTATAAATTGTTAAATGTGTATTAAAGTATAAACTGTTAAACATGTATAAAAGTATAAATTGTTAAACGTTTATAAAAGTATATAATTGTGAAATGTGTATAATGCATAAATATTGTTAAATGTTTATAAAAGTATTAATTGTTTAATGTTTATAAAAGTATTAATTTTTTAATGTTTATAAAAGTATAAATTGATAAATTTGTGTTAAAGTATGAATTTTTTAATGTGTATAAAAGTATTAACTGTTAAATGTGTATAACAGTATAAATTATTAAAAGTGTATATAAGTATAAATTGTTAAATGTGAATAAAGGTATAAATTGTTAAATGTAAACAAAAGTATAAACTGTTAAACATGCATAAAAGTATAAATTGTTAAATGTGCATAAAAGTATATATATTGTTAAATGTTTATAAAAGTATAATTGTTGAATGTGTATAAAAGTATTAATTGTTTAATGTTTATAAAAGTATAAATTGATAAATTTGTATAAAAGTATGAATTGTTAAATGTGTATAAAAGTAAAAATTGTTAAAATGTGTATAACAGTATAAATTTTTAAAAGTGTATAAAAGTATAAATTGTTAAATGTGTATAAAAGTGTAAAACGTTAAATGTGTATAAAAGTGTAAATTGTTAAATGTGTATAACAGTATGAATTGTTAAATGTGTATAAAAGTGTAAATTATTAAATGTGTATAACAGTATAAATTTTTAAATGTGTATAAAAGTGTAAATTGTCAAATGTGTATAAAAGTGTAAATTGTTAAATGTGTATAACAGTATAAATTGTTAAATGTGTATAAAAGTATAAATTTTTAAATGTGTATAAAATGTAAATTATTAAATGTGTATAACAGTATAAATTGTTAAACGTGCATAAAAGTATAAATAGTAAAATGCAACAAAGTTGTACCAGTGATGTCGCATAAAGTTCACCTTCCCCTGCTATCTAGTTTGCGGTGGGGCCAATTAGGCCAATAAACATTTTATCACAGTTTTTCAAGAAGTTTGACCCGAAGAGAAAACTTTTGTTTTGGATATCTTGCCAATTCTTATAGCTTTTGAATGTGATTGGTTTGACACGGTAGTAATAGAGGATTAACTTACATTGTTTACAGAGAGGTCGTCTTTTCCATCCTTACTCAGAGTAAATCTAAGACCACCGTCCACAGCCTAAAATGTACATATTCACAGTACTTGATTTAATTATATTTAATTACAGGTTACAGGTTCATGAGGGTGTCATAAACATATGAATTGAGTGTCGATTTTGATATCGTCTTTGTAAATAATTTGTTTATTTAGTATGGTGCTGTTTATTAGAAAAACTGTAATATTTCTATGACCTGAGCCCGTTTTTCCCTAGTAATGTATAAAGATTCATTGAATTGAGTATTTATTGTCGATGACATTTCGTTGTTTTAAATGAATTTTAATTGGACCTTAAAAAGTATGTCAAGCACGCATAGATACATGGTCCGAATCTGTACAAGTATTTAGTATTTACCAATGTCTTATGTAATTTTACTATAAGCATGTTTACTCGCACACTGCGTAAAGTTTATTCAGTGTTAATCGATTACGTTTAATGCATTTTATGCACAAAATATCAGTTAGCTGGATCGAATTGTTTAGGCTTTGTATTGCGAACTTTGAAAAACTCACAGCGGTGGGTTTATTCGTTGCAAGATATTATAAAATAAAAAAAATCGTTGAAGGTTTTATAAAGTTTAGATATTTCCAAGGTTATAATGCAAGGAAAGTTATTTAAGAGGTGTACGCATCTTGTGTGCTGCAGTGTACTGTCTCTGGGCAGTAATGTAAACACAAAACGGATGTCGAGCCTGACATGGTATCCATCTTTCACATAAAAAATCAATGAAATATTCTCGTCATAGGAAACTATTATGTGAATTATCAAAATTAACAAAATTCAATGCTTTTAACCTCCTCGGATACTAGACTAACACTGATGCATCTATTCTTGATTACAAATTCCGCCCAGAGAGTCGAGCTGGTTTCAATATGTACACAGAGTTTACGCAACTGCAATTAACTTTCCTTCCATTATAACCTTGGATATTACATTCTCTTTGTTTACCTTGTTTACTTTGTACTGCATGTTCTTACAATCTCCTAGATTAGATTCTTTCCAAACCTAACACATCAATTCTTTAGATTGTACTCAACAACAAAACAAAATGAATTCTCTCAAAGACGACATTTAATATTACCTCAATATTGTTTTTCTTCCAGTCGTCGGACAGAAGAGAACTAAAAAATATTAGTTTTAGAAAAACTCAATAAAGCATTAACATTAAAAAATCCGCGGAAAAAAATATTCAAATATTTTTTTTCGAGAAAGAATTTATCCTGACCTGATCTTGGCCTTGCAGCATACAGTGTTCACGTCGGAGCAAATTTCAATCTAAAAATTGAATAAATTAACAAAATAATATTTTTCGACAAACCATTTTTAAACTTATCAGTTTAAATTCGTATAATTGTTGTCACCATTATTATCAAATGCTACCAAAAATTACTGTATACTTGATTTTTCGTATTTGCTATTTATTTCATTGAATTATTGAATATTTAAAAGGTGTAAAAAGAGCATTTATATAATATCATTACAAACAGAATGCATTTCTTTGTAGTTAGAATTTAAGTGAAATATAGAAAGTTTAAATCATCCACTTTTTGGAAATAGATAACAGTTAGAAATTACAATTTCATTAGCGGTTTATATTATCAAAGAGGATAATAGGTCTATTTTATGTAGGAGTTCACCGTTGGCAATTATATCATATATTCAATGAAGACGACTTTTCTAAAGTTTACAAGAAACAAATTAGAAAAACTAATAATTGACAGATTCATTTTGTTTCCATGTTCATGTTTATCCATCACTGCTTGAAAGAAATCAAAATTGAAATCGATAGTTGTCCTCATTGTATTGATATATTCTACAACAACTGTACAACAGTACAAGCCACACAAAATGAGATTAACAAATGTAATATCAGGTCTTGAGGTAATTAAATAGAAACAAAAAAACATTTTCAGAAATGAAGATTATTTTAAAGAAAAACGACCAAAGTTCAAATTATCTAACTTTTCATAAAAATGCTTCATTTGCAAAAGTTATTAAATAAACTGAAATAAAATAACTAAACTCATACCACAATTAAAAAGTTTTTGAATAGCATCAAACAAGTTTATCAACGATCATTACTTTTTCTAATTTAAGTTTGATAATGTAAAATATCATGGCGTTAAAACATAAAAAAGTATTAAAAATGTTCTTATTTACCTTGACATTGTCATCTGTACCATCAGGTCCAACGGTTACATTAACAACCTGGACTCTTTCATATTCATACGGAGAGGTTCGGCAAAACTATAAGTTTAAAGGTCTTTACTTAACATTTCAAATCGGAACATAATGCCAGGCATCAAATATTTTTATGAGATGTGTATTTTTTTTTAGGAAAATCTAAAATAAATTACATTAGCCTACATTTTTATTTATGACAAAGAAATCCTCGATGTAAGGATATTTTTTTGACAAGATCCGTTTCTTTTAGTCTCCCAGTCTAGGCCATTTACTTTTCGAGTCTATCGGAGGATTCATGTTTTCTTAATTACTTCTACTGTGTCCATGTTTTTCCTGTATACTATTCAATTCAATTCAATTCAAGAAGCTAGGGAGGTCCCGTGGGCTCCTCGATCTAAATGGGGTACGCCATCACGATCCCGTCTAGATCAAGGCTTTTCAGCCTGACATAGTTTAGGCCTAACGACGGAGGGACTTATAAAATTTGAATTTATAACTGAAAGTTGCCGAAAGAAGTTTATCAAATGTAATTACACGCCATAAGTTTCCGAAATTCCGGGGTTTTATTTAAAATTTTTCTTTTGACATGTTTCAATGAAATAGCAAATAAAAAGTATCTTTAAGATTAATCTTGTAAAGACGATATTCCTGAGATTGTGAAGAAGTAGAGTTTGCAGCGTCAGCTTTCCCTCCAATATTATACTTACCACAATCAAATCTATAAATAAATTATTATTCACTGAAAAGTTAATTTGAAGTACCGTGCAAACTTTTAAACATCCTTATCAAGGTGTACAGCATGCAATATCAATGAATTGTAGTAAGGTTTGTTACTGCCGATGCGCTCCAATGTACAGAAAATGTCGTCTCCTAGGATAGTTTGATAAAAACCTTATAAGACGTCACTTTCGCTTTTATAATCAGTGACGTTATATGAGGTTTTTATCTTTCTATTTTAGGAGACGAAATTTTCCGTTCATTGGAGGCTTGTCATAACTACACGTGGTCACCTGTAACAATGGTCCTAAACATCTTGTCATAACTACATGTGGTCTCCTGTAACGATGGTCCTAAACATCTTGTCATAACTACATGTGGTCTCCTGTACAATAGCCCTAAACACCTTGTCATAACTAAATATGGTCTCCTCTAACAATGGTTCTAAACATCTTGTCATAACTACATGTGGTCTCATGGAACAATGTTCCTAAACATCTTGTCATAACTACATGTGGTCTCCTGTAAGATCCTAAACATCTTTTCATAACTACATGTGGTCTCCTGTAACAATGGTCCTAAACATCTTGTCATAACTACATGTGGTCTCCTCTAACAATGGTTCTAAACATCTTGTCATAACTACATGTGGTCTCCTGTAAGATCCTAAACATCTTGTCATAACTACATGTGGTCTCCTGTAACAATGGCCCTAAACATCTTGTCATAACTACTTGTGGTCTCCTGTAACAATGGTCTCCTAAACATCTTGTCATAACTACATGTGGTCTCCTGGAACAATGGCCCTAAACATCTTATCAATAACTACTTGTGGTCTCCTGTAACAATGGTCTCCTAAACATCTTGTCATAACTACATGTGGTCTCCTGTAACAATGGCCCTAAACATCTTGTCATAACTACATGTGGTCTCCTGTGACAATGGCCATAAATTTGGTCAACAGTGGGATTAAAACAAAAAAAAGTTTAGGAGAATTAAGAATTAAATCTAAACAATTGATTACAATCTCTTTATTTTCCAACCAAACAGGCCAAACAGGATAGAATGCAGATTAACTAAATAAGACTTTTATTTCTTACTCCTTAATAAAAAAGGTGAAAATCAAAATAGTTTTTTTTGTTTGTTTTTCCTCAGTTTTGTTTGTTGCAAAACCTGATGCCAAGTTGTAATGTGTTGGACATGAATTGGGGGAAAGTTTTCAAAAAAAAAAACAATTAAAACTTTTCGCTATTAATTTCTGCTCTAACTAAAAACTACTTGATCAAACTTTTAAAGGAAAAGTTGCAAATTTGTATTAGCTGCAGTTTAAGTTTAGCATAAAAACTGTTCTATTTAATTTAAAGCAATAAATTCAACAAAATATTTTGGGAAAAGTACAAGTTCTTAAGTTTATTATTTTTTGACTCTCAAACTTTAATTGCTTTTAATTTTATTAAGTATCTTCAATTAATGTATCTACAGTCTACAGTCTACAGTCAACAGTCTACAGTCATCAAAGCTTATTACTCGCAACAAACAATTTTTTTCCAATCTAATGCCGTAAACCTTAGTATTTCATACTTTGGATTTTATCATTGACAAACTTATAGTTTGAAATATCTCAAGACGCAGAGTTTGAGGCGACTTCTCAGTTTCTTCCTTCCAATCCTTGCACAAGTTGACTATTCAACATAAAACTGTTGAAAGTTTTTATCTCTCCCAGTCTTTAAATTGGTGCGGGCAAACCGAGAATTGTAAGAAGTTCTTGACATTAATTACGTTAAACCTTAAACTAACCAGAACCCTGCAGTTTTAAACTTTCATTTGCTAATGGAATGGAATCACAGAGGAAGCCAATTATGGACTGAAGTATAGTGAAGTAAAAATGATAAAGGAAAGGCTTAAAGAAGAAGTTCTTTATCTCTTCCTCTGCAACAATGGCTACAACAAAAATGCGTTGAAAAAAAATCTCCATGGCCATTAGAAGTTAAATTGAAAATAAAAATATTAAAAAATAAACTTCATTTTGAAGCTATTTATATCTTTTTAGTCAAAAAAAAACATGTTTAAATCAAAATTCAAAACTCATTATACTTGATTATTTTACATGAATAATAAAATAAATAATTTTTTTCAGTCTGATGTCAAATTCTTTATAATCATACGGCTTACACCTTATTTACTCGTACTAGTCCGTCTAGTGAACCGGCGCTGGGAATTTTAGAATGGGATACCTTTAATCCAGACTACTTAATCCGAATATCCAATGTGGACACTTTTAATTTTTTCCTTAATCCACTCTTTTTTGAATATAGTAATCAAAAACCGGTTTTAAAAATTAGAAAGTCCCTCCCATCTTTATTTATTAATCTTAATCCAATAGGAGAACTCTCATTAAATGTTGCGCAAAATTTCAAATTTCCCGGCTTCTGATACGCCACTGCGATTGGTTGAAGTTTATTAACTTTTCAGGGCACAAACACAAGATTAAGTTAGTCTCGAGATTAAGAAACAGAGAGGATTAAGCATTAATCTCGATATCCACCATTCTATTAAGTTCTCAGCTCAGCACAGTTAACTATGAAAGATTTTATGCGACACTACTTTGTGACCTCGAAGCTCCTTTAGTTTGAATTTTATGCACGAGTTATATCCGGATATATGAATAGCAATTCAAAACATTTTTTTCTCAATAACTCTTAAATAAAATTCTTTATGATTGAAAACAGATATGATTTCAATCTGAAGTGAAATTTACTCTAGTTTGACGTGCATACCTTTGTATTTGTAAAACAAAAGATCACCTTTCAATTTCAATAGGTTTAGTCTTCCCCTCTCCTATAGTTGTAGCATCAATAAACAGAGAGGTCACTCCTAGAGTATCCACACCCTGGACAATTACAAATATTACAAATTGTTTAGAATAGAACCAGATATTAATGGTAACTTTTTTTTAAATTAAAAAATATAAAACTTTCATGTTAGAAAATTCTTTTTGATGATTATCAGCTAAAGGAAATGAGTTTGTGACACAAAATAAAAAATTTCTAGTCCCCAAATCTTTCAAATGGTTTAAATGTTTGATATTTCAAACTTAGAATATTTGTTCTGACAGAATTCATAGTTTGAAATATCAAAGGTTTACGACATAGGGTTAAATAGATATAGGGATTAAAAAATCAGAGCTTGCGCCAAAACCCCAATTCCTTTACCTATCTCCTATTACAAATTTTAGCTTTTAACTATTGCTCTAATAGTCGGCAATTTTAAATGATTGAGTCTTTGCCAAAATCTTTAAATTTATTATTCCTATATCTTGTCAACCTAATTTCGTAGACCTTAGGGTAGTTCAAACTATGAGTGCTGTTTGTCCAACCATATAGTCAAAGTTTAAAATATTAAAGGTTTAAAGCTTGTAAAATTTTAGTTTGTGGCAAAGATTTAATTGCTTTTGGCGGATTTTTCTATTTCGAATTGGCGCATTTTCAAAAAAATGTTTCCCGGGAATTTTATTGTTGTTATTGTTATGTTAACTGTCGTTTTAAATTTTTTTAGTTTTAGATTGATTTTGTTATTTTTTTTTAATCTTTAAGTTCGTTGTCAACTGTCATAATAGTTAAATACCTTCTTTGACAGAGTAAGTTCTAATCCATTTTTGATCTTGAACTTTTTGTCACTGTAAAAATAAAAAATTATAATATCTGTTGGTGTTTTTGTAAATAATTTTTAAAAAATAGTGAAATGGTTATTGTTTTCGTTATTCTTTTCATTATAACTTACAAAGAGGTTTAAACTTTTAACTGTTATTCCAGATTTCTGATAATATACAGGTTTACCCACAGAGGATGAGACTTCAGAGACGAGTTTACGGAATTTGTTTAGTCCGTTTTCTTGCAGGCCAAAACTGGGGTATTTCTGTGCTTAATCATCAAAGTTAACCATCAAAATACTCAATTGAATACAGAAACCAAAAATCAAGCCTCAATTCGTCAAATTTTTAGAGTTTAGCGTCGTCTTTAAAGTCTCATCCTTTGTGGGTAACCCTGTATATAATTTACAATTTTTATAAGAAAATATTATACAATAAAAGAAAAAAACAAAGACAACTGTTACTGTTTTTGGATTTTCTGTAGCAAGAAAGCAAAAAAGTTGAAAAAAGAAAAACAATCAAATTTTGAATAAGAAATAAGACTGGTTTATAAGATTGGTTATTATTTTTAAAATCATACATGCAGTTTCCAAAATATTTCTTTGTCCATGTTTCAAGATCATTTGAACTCCAGTCGTCGGACAAAGCCGAGCTGAGAACCGGAGTTTCACAACAGGTTTTCTTATCATCCGCACAGATCTAAACAATAGATTATCTTTTATAAAAATAAAACAACACAGACTGTTCAGATAGGACAAGAACCCCTGAGGTCAGTGAATTTAAAGGGACTGTAAGCGTATTTCAAGTGGACCCTCCATGCAAAGAGAGGAATATCTGAATTACAAGGAAACTCCAAGTGTTTATCTCTAAAATAGTGATTAAATTGCCGAAAAACTGGAACGACGCAGTTGAATAAGTTTCTCGAAGATCCCGAATATTCTATGTCCAACTAAATATTATTTCTGAGAATTGCAGTAGATATAAAAAAGCTTGGACAGTGTTTTGTTCAACAATTTCAAGCATTTAGTAGAGATAAAACAAATAATTTCATCATCCCCGACCAATCAAAGATTTAAAGATATAAATGTGGAGGGTTACATGAAAGTACGCTTACAGTCCCTTTAATAATACTTTTCATCGTTCAATATAGTAGACTTATTTACCTTGGATTTTAGTTAGTTTTACAAAAAAATGATATTTCAGATTTCTTTCATCAAAATTTAAGCAAGAAGGAAACAAAAAATCCTTTGTTAGCTACTGATTTGAAAATTAAACTTTTAAAGAACAACATTCAAACTTGCCAAACTTCTTTTTGTGAATTCTCTGTCTTTTCTTTCCTTATCTGTAAACTGGGTTTGCTATGACAAAAACCAGTTATAAAGTTCTGGGAATTCAAATTTTAAGGATGAACTACAGACCTCATAATTATACATCACACGCTATACAAACTTGTCCGGCTTTTTTGCTGTATTTTTTTGTTGTACTTTTTTGTCATAAAAAATTCAAGGTTTTTGTTGTTCATATCCCTCCAAAAAAACTTGTATTCTCTGGGACCGAATTTAATGAATTAGAGAGGTCGGTGAACTACCCTACCCCCGGTTCTAAATATAAACACAGATTAAAATCCTCTTTTCCTTTAAATCAATGATTCAAGAATTGAACCAGCGGAAGGTAGGTCAGCGGTATAGCCCAAATTCCTGAAATGTGGTCCCTAATTCCGTAGATTATACGGAACAATTGTACCTAATTCCGTAGATTATACGGAATAATGGTCCCTAATTCCGTAGATTATACGGAATAATGGTCCCTAATTCCGTAGATTATACGGAATAATGGTCCCTAATTCCGTAGATATTATACGGAATAATTGTTGCTTTTCGACATTTACAATTTTTTAAATTACTTTTTTAAATTTCAAAATAAAAAATCTTTAGCGACCTGTTATAAGTAAAAGAAGAAAAAACATGACAATCATTTGACTGTATAATGGTTTTACCTTTGCCATAACATCTTCATTAGTACCGTCAGGACCCATCTGTACAGTCAGTTTACTAACTACAACTTCATAACATCTGCAATATAAATATTAATATTAGTGAGAAATGTATGACAAAAATTCTTGAAATAAGTCAGAAATACTCAAAAAAGACAGAAATACACGTAATAAAACAAAAATTACTTGAAATATGACAAAAATGCTGGAAATAAAACAAAAATACTCGAAATAAGACAGAAATACTCAAAATAATAAAAAATAACTTGAAATGAGACAACAAAAAAACTCGAAATAATACGAAAGTGCTCGAAATAAGCCAAAAATGCTGGAAATAAAACTAAAGTACCTGAATTAATAAAAAAATGCTGAATTTGAAATTAGACAAAAAAACTCGAAATAAGACACAAAAGCTGGAAATATGACAAAAATACTCAGAATAAGGCAGAAAACTCAGAATAAGTCAAAAATACTCGATAAAATAAATAAGTACTAGAATTAAGACAATCACACTTGAAATAAGACACAAATTCTCGAAATTAAACAAAAAATACTAGAAAAAAAATCTCTAAATAATACATAAATACTGGAAAAACACAAAAATACTCAAAATCTTACAAAATATTTGAAATAATTAAGAAATGATCGAAATCCTAAAAATAACTAGGAATAAGACAAAAATGCTCGAGATAAGATAAAAATACTCGAAATATGACAAAAATACTCTTAATAAGACAATCATACTGAAAATAAAACAAAAGTACTTGAAATAAATTAAACAAAATAACTTGAAATTGGACAAAAATTACTCTAAGTAATACAAAAATGTGTAAAACTTACAGATCGTCGGAACTGCTGAAGATTCCTCCACATGAGGAGAACACTGCTCCTCCACCCCTGGGACCATCTGGGATTTCAGAAACCTTCTACACACATTCAATATTTAAAGGGAAGCTGTGCGTAAAAAAATAAGAGGGGTTGCCATGCATGGAGGACGAATGCAAATCAATACTCTACATATTTCTAAATCAAAATTTGGCAATAAAATTTGAATGACAAAATTCTCTTATATTCAACATATTTGGCAACAAAAGTTGGATGACTGTCAAAATATCGAGTTTTTTAGTTGAACAAGAGAAATTTTTTTAATGTAAACGATAAGTGAAGTGAAGTTTGGTTTATTTATTTAATTTGCAGGATAAGGAAAACTTTATTTGGTCAATTCAATTCATTTTAAAAAATCTAATTTTTCCTAGTTTACAGTTCTTTAAAGAGGGAAAGCGGCGTTAAACCACAACTTCAGACAAAATTCGTCATTTCTTCTTTAAACTTACTACCTGTCCCAGGGCAACTGGAAGCAGAGCCAACATAAACATCTTACTCCTCCTCATTCTAAACATAAAGGATTTTTTAAAAGGAATGTTCGTGAAAATATTTTAGTTCAACAAACATATTGATGAAAGTCACAATTTACTAGAGTCTGATGGAATGGTATATATATACATACATACATCTATATATATACTTTGCGTGTCTATCTATCTTTCTGTCTGTTTGTCTATTTGTATCCAATAAAAGTCCAAACGGCTGAACCGATCCGGCCCAAATTTTGTGTGGAACCCAGCCTGGCCCAAGGAGAGGGTAATGAAAAAAAAGTTAAATCCAAAAGCTTTTGATTTTTGTAAAAGACTAAAATATTTAAAAGTCCGCGAACTTAAAAAAAATGTTTTACACTGTACAAAGTGAAGATGCTCACAGATAGGCCATCAGCCAGCTACAATTAAAAGTTAAGATAGAGGAGCTCCCGAAAAGCCTAGTAAATTCATACTTTGCTTGTTTGTTGGTTTCTTTCATTGTATCCAATAAACGTCCAAACGGCTGATTCGATCCAGCCCAATTTTTTTGTGGGACCTCAAATGACCAATTAGGGAAGGTTTATGGATGATAAAAATTTTAAAAATTTCATTTGATCGATTTTTTAAAAGTTTACAATTTTAGCTTCTATTTGTTGGTGCTCTGAAAATCATAATTTTTTATTCTCAAATTTTGCGGCTTTTTCAACAGGGTGTCCCATGACAGTAGCGAGACGAATTGAGGATCGTCTTTGTTCCTTGAAATAATTTGTGAAACTTATTCGTAAATCAAATTTTAGATGTAAATTTCTAAAGTTTAGAATCACTACATACCCTACAGTCTTGGCTTTCCACATTGTTGTTTGTCCTTTCTGTGGGTTTAATATTGCCGGAGATAGATTTCGACAATTTTGGCTTTATTAAATAAAATTGAAATCTGTCTGGAGCTGGGAATTTTAGAATGGTGGATATCGAGCAATGCTTGATCCTCTCTTCATCTTAATCTCGAGACTGACCTAATCTTGTCCTTGTATCCCTTAAAAGTGTATAAAATTCAACCAATCAGAGTCGGGTTGCAGAAGCCGGAAAATTTGAAATTTGAGGGACTCTCTAATTTTGAAAACCCGGTTTTTTTTATTTTTCTCTACTATATCCAAAAAAGAGCTGATTAAGCAATTGAAATTAAAAGTGTCCACATTTTAAATTCGGATTAAGAAGTCGGGATTAAAGGTATCCCAATCTAAAGTTCCCTGCTCTGAAATCTTAATATCTCCGGTAATAGTGTCACTTGGCAGCACTAAAAAGGCAGAACTCATTTTGGAAATGCTAGGACTAGGAGATCTTTGTGGTTGTTGTTTCAAGAATCCTAAGTGTGAAAGTAATGTCACAATCAAATTTAAAGTTCAAAGACGACTTTCATGTCGTCTTGCCACTGTCATGTTTCGTGGGACATAAGGTGTATAAAAAACTTGCACATTTCAAAAATAAAAAAATGTTGACATTTGGTTCTCATCGGTTCAGCCGTTTTGACATTTATTGGACACTGAAGAGACAGAGACAAGCAAAGCATGAAAATTATAGTTAGTAAAAACAATAAAACTAGAAATATGCAAAACTAAAAAACAACAATTCGACCAAATTTTTCTTATCTGAGGTTGGTAGCCAATAAAACGTTTTGGTAAATCTTAAGTAATGCATGTTACCTCTGGCTGTAAAATTGCAGAACTGAGGTCTAAATGTTTAAGTTTACAATTTTGTTGTATTGCCGCAGAATCTGGTTATATTATATCGATGTATCTAAACTATAGGCATTCAAACCATCGGCAACCGGGTGGGGGCACATTTAGTATATTTCAGAGGGTCAGGGGGGGATTGGTGTTTGTCGCAATCTTCCTTTTATAATTTCATAATACATATGACTTGTGTTTCATAATGAGAATGGAAAATTTATAAACATTGTATGAATTGTAGGTAGCATTGATTTATAATGATTTAAATTTATAATTACTTTTCCCGAGGCCGAATTTAAAGAATTTAAGTCGCGGCTTAAATCCGCCAAAACCCGGTTTAAATTGAGCGCCGGCTTAAATCTTGAAACATTTGGTACAATTTTAAGTGAAACCAATCACAATTAAGCCCCGGCTTAAATTTAAACCACGGCTCAAATTCTTAAAATTCGGCCACCGTTCATATATTTATCCAGGAATGGATCCTGTGTAAGTGTAACTACGCAATATTGGTTCACAAGAGCCATAAAAAAACATAATTTTTAAAACAAAATATCAACGAATTTATGATAATCTGAATATAAAAATAGATTAATGACCATTAATCAAAGATTTGGGGGGCGGGGGCATTGCAAGCGCACCCGAGTTTTTGTTTTGTCTCTAATTCGTGTATAAAATACCTAAATTAAGAAATTTCACGGAAATGGTCAGTTTTCCGTGGGATTTTTTTAGAACTTTCAAAAATTGCTTGAGTGGTGACCAAGTCTTATTTGACTTAAATAAGAGGTTTATGGTGTAAACTCAATATTGCTACCCCCCCTGATACCCCCCCCCTGTGCATGTGGGGGGGTAAGGCGCAACTAGGATTTTGTTCTGGGGGGGGGGGAGGATGATATTATTTGTGCGATCAAACTTCTGTTCGGTGTATACTAACTTTCCTAATAAGTTGACCTGCAGCTAGGAAAGGAATTGATTCTTTGCCACAAACTCTGATTTTCTAATCACTTTATCTTTACAACCCAATGTTGTTGACCTTTTATATTATAAACTATAAACTGTGTTAAATAAAATAATCCCGGTCTAAAATATAAAAGGTTTTCACTATCGAGTACCAAAATAATTGGGATTAGAAAATTTGATTTTGTGCCAAAGACTCAAATCCTTTGAAAGAAAAAAATTCTAGATTGTGTTTTTGGAAATCCGAGACAAAACAATTTTGTTTTAATTATTTGTCACTTTTTTAATTTAAAACTGTTCTCTGGGGGCTCTTTAAAACCGTAACAAGATTATTTCTATATAGTTGTTATTTATTAAACATAAGAGTTGCTTATTGGTTTGAACCATGTAATAAAATTATGATTTTACTTCTTTTCGATTTTTTTTTAATATTTTGAGATCTTCCTCCATATTGACGGCAATATTTTGTATTTATATTTTTATATACTTCTTCCATATTGACGGCAATATTTTGTATTTATATTTTTAGATCTTCTTCCATATTGACGGCAATATTTTGTTTTAATATTTTTAGATACTTCTTCCATATATTGACGGCAATATTTTGTTTTAATATTTTAGATACTTCTTCCATATATTGACGGCAATATTTTGTTTTAATATTTTTAGATACTTCTTCCATATATTGACGGCAATATTTTGTTTTTGAAGAAAAACGAACAAAACGAATTTTTAACAAATTTGAAAATTAAAATTTTTTTCTTCTATTATCAAATGATTTTGCAGGAATCCCAATTTAATGAATTGTACTTTTTCGTGTCTTCAACAATTAATTATCTTACTTTACATTTTTGAATTTTATTCTTGCTTTGTTTTCAATTCTAGCATAAATTATGAAAACAAGTGTAAGCTTCTTACATTAATTTTTTTTTCTTACATTTCATTTTGAGTTTTTCGTCAAATTGAATTGTTCAATAAGATTTAAATATTACATGTTTTCAAATGAAAAGTTTTTTTTCTCTAAAAATTGGTTTTCACCAACTAGAGTTTAGAATATAATCAAGAAGACCCACGAGGTCACAAAGTTGTACCCGTAATTTCGCATAATGAAGATGTAAGATCTTTCCCTGGGATATTTAGAAAGATGAAAATTTCCCTGTATGATAATTGAAGGACTGGAGTATGGTTTTGGTGAATTAAATAGTCGTACAAAGTCTAGGGGTGTCAGAAATGATTGTTCAACATATTTTTTAAACGTCCTATAAACCGGATAAACCGGATATTGTTTCATTTTCGATAAAACTTTTTATTCTGGATAATTGTAAATATGTTTTTAAAACTTTCTTGCATCGGCATATTTTTTCTAAATTTATTTAGTGAAGAGGGTAATTCCAAATAAGCATTGATAAATATTGCTTTATATCGAGTAGATATTCTTAAACGTACCTCTCAGAAAGTAGGAAAGATCCTGCATATAAACTTTGCCAAACCAAACCAAATTTTTTTTACAAAAGTATTAAGTACTTGTAAAAGAAAAATTCTAGGCATAATTTTATTCTAGACGCTTTTAAGCTGTTAATAATGCAGTTACTGAGGGAGTGAATTCTTTTATCAATATAATATAAGAATAGAAGATTGTTATATAGCTTTTCATATTGGGTGCATGCATCAAACAATTTATGCTATTCTGGGAATCTTAATATTTACAATAAAATATTTGCTTTTTCAATATTAAATAAAAATGGCATCATTCAGCACTTAACAGTTCATAGATTCGTTAAATTCTTATTTTCAAATATTTCTTTCTTTCTTTAATTCAAATCCATTAACCCGGGATTTGTTTTTAAGGTTCGGGATTTCAACTTTCAACTAAATTAAGCTGCTTGGATTATTTAAAACTTCCTTACTAGAAATTTTAGGGAATTTTCTTTTCTAAGGGTTTAAGGAGCAATTTTCCCAAAAAAAACAACATCCAGAGCACACTGGTCAAATGTGTAGGTTTTTTAGTCAAAATACAAGGTACTCTATTTTTTTCTTCTGCATATAATTTCGTTATGTGAAGGAAAAGTTTAAGTTGAATCTCTCGTTTGGATGGAAAGGACACATCATACAATTTCATTTAGAAGAGTTCCTAAACAAGATTCAGAAACCTCTTGGATTTTTTGCAGAACAAACATCAGAGAGTGTTCACAAGAATATGAAGAAAACGTTATCTAGGTTTTGTGTTTTCAGAAACCCACACGTCTCATGGCGCCACACTGCACAAATCTGTTGTAACTTATTCCAGTATGCGAGTCTGATTCCTTAGATAGTTACATTAAGATGTTATTTTGTTTTGATAAATTTGTCTGGAAGAAATAAAATCATGCATTTCTCTATATTTATGTATCTTTTAAGGATGCTTTGTCAAATTAAGCGTATTTTAGGGTGAAATAAATATTTTTATTTTTTTTGGAATGGGCTACGGCTACAAATTCACTAAAGTTGTCTTACATTCGAGAATAGTCATACAAATTATATGCAGAAGAACAAAATAGAGTACCTTATATTTTGACTAAAAAACCTACATTTGACCAGTGAGCACAAAGAGGGAACCCGTGGTAAAGTAAAACGATTTATAACAAAAAATAAATTTTTTTTATAAAAACTTTGCAAAATCTTGGATGAGCTATAAAATGCACTAATTCATCAGTTGCGATTTGCGAACAAAAAATCAAAAACGTTCTTTTCTGAAACATTTAATAATTTAGTTCGCTTATTAAAAATATAAATTTTAGGCTTGGAACTTTAGTTTAATTATAATTACAATAATTCCTGGATAATAGAATAATGCATTAAACTAATCCTTTAGAAATTTCAGTTTAAACTTTAAAGTCGCGGACATCTTGGATTCAATTCTAAGTTTATGAATTCTCGGTAGAATATTTAGTTGGAGGAGAACACAACATTCCAGGTTCTTGGAAATAAACAGGGTGTCACGACAACACATGGGACACATGTGATTAATCAAGAATGTAATGCAAGAAAAGTTAATTGTAGTTGCGTATACTCTGCGTACATATTGAAACCAGTTCTCTCTGGGCGGAATTTGTAAACAAGAATAAATGCCTCAGTGTTCGTTTAGCATCCGAGGAGGTTAAACGCATTAAATTTTGATAATTCACATAATAGTTTCCTATGACCAGAAT